TGAGAGTATCATCCTAACTTCAAGTTTTCCTGAAATTTAAAATCATTGAGTATACAGGGACTCTTCAGCACATAAGCATTCTGCATAAGTGGCAGTAACATAGTCTGGCACTGTGTCCCTCCTGTCTACTTTATATAAGAAAGGAGGCTGAACAGGAAGCAAAATATTGAATATAGTCTCTAACTGCCTCCTGTCAGCTTCATTTTGGAAGCAGCTTGCAAACTCATCTGTGGATGATAGTATTTAAATAGGTAGTTAGCCATGAGGAAGAGTTTTTGGGTTCCTGTTATATTGTTTCTTCCTAGGGATAATTAAATAAGGACTATCTCTATATTTTATTCTTCCAAGCTAAGCAGCAGTGTTTTATTTACTTAGTGAAAGATGAAATCTACTTACGTTGACCAGATTGCTGCTTTTCTTTTAATACCATGCCTGCTCTTAACCTCGTTTTATTTGGAGAGTATCGCATAATTAATTTCACTTTATAGCTTTATACTCTTAGAAGAGGACATGGCAAGATCTGAGGTGTGTCACTGGTGGGTGGGATATGGCTGGGACCTGCCCACTGTCCTGCCGGGAACAAAAGCAGGAGTTTGCAGCACCCCCAGTGATGCTCCTTTACTCAGTTTTTCACCTATTTTCCCTGCCAGTTGCCATTTCTGTGAAGCTGTCAGTGCTGCCTGATTTTAGCTGGCCCTGCTTTGGGAAAGGGGGATTTGGAAGGCACTGCCTCGGGAGCAGTCGTGATGTCATTTGCAGGAAGTTATTTTCCTCCCTGCAAATCCTTTCTGCTGAGCATTTTGTTGTCAGGGCAGGGTAGGATTTCCAGTAAAGTTGCAACTCTTTTTTATGAGAAGAGGTGAAATGAGCTCTCCAGTGCCTTTAGTAGCTCTGCACTGTGACTTTAATAGGACTTTAGGTGACTGTCATTGAGATGTTGGCTGTGCCATCAGAGGGTTTGTCACTTTTTTCCCTGTAAGCCATCCTGACAGATGACGTGAGATGATACCGTGCAGACACACCATCAGCATTGCCAATGAGCTGACCTTCTCCTCTTCATCCATTTAATTTGTATTTGAATAATTTGCATCCCTGTAACGATGCTCAGTTGTCTGAGGAGCTGTCACAACAGCTTGGGCTGGTTTCGTGACAAAACCCAGTAGTTTCAAAACACAATTGTTTCATTATTCATGAAAATTGTTGTTGCTTTATTCCTCCTCCTGCTCAGACAAGTTTGGCCAGAGAGAAAAAAAAGCCCTGTTTTGCATTTGCAGGATTGGATTTTTTTATTATTTTTTTTTTTTGCATAATGCAGTGTTTTTATACAAATATCTCATTATTTATTGAAAACTCATTCAGTAGGAAATTTGGATAGCTCCCCATGAGGCAAATAAGTTAAAGTAGAATTCTAGTCCCTTTTCCTGGAACAAGTTTATTTCTAAACTTTTGAGTTTTAAGATCTTCTCTGTTTTCCCTGATACGTAATTACTGTGAAGGGCAAGGAACAGGTGCCCTTGCACAATGTGAACTGTCATTATCCTGGGTGCTTGCAATAAATTGAATGTCTGTTTCAGACTCAATTGTCTATTTTTACCTTTTTTTTATATAGATTCCATAGATTCTTGTATATCACAACAAGCAAGGACAAATTTGGGGAGAAGTGCAGAGAACTCTTGACAGGAAACAGGTCTCAAAGTAACTGCAGAAGACAGCAGAGAATGACTTTTTTGGCTAAAATATATTTCAGTCTCATTATTCTGATACACAGCCCAGTGACAGAGTTGGTGATGTTCAAAAAGGTTTTCTTTCACTGCCCTCTCCTCCAGGGTGGGGTCCGTGTGATCTCTAGTGATCACTCAGAAGTTGAAAAAAATCCTTTTTTCAGTTGGTGATTGTAATTCATTGTCCAGCTTATCCATTTTTTCATTCCATCAACTGGCTCTGGGAATTTGTCCACTCATTAACACCTCCCTGGTGAAATGCATCTCTTGAGATGGGAGAAATCTTCACGTTTAAAAAGAAAGTGAAGAAGCTGGGTTTGAGTACGGGTATGTTTTTCAGGATGAATGACTGATTTAGGTTATGGTATTTTTTTGTTTTGTTTTGATTCTGGTGCAAAGCCTTCCCATGTACTACATGTTCCATAAGCTGAGGAAAAAATACTGAAGCAGCGTTTCAGATAAAAAATGCAGAGACAAAACTTGAAATGAGTATTTTTAGCACAAGGGGAAGCAGACTACGGATGAAAAGAGCAAGGATTTAATTCTGTTGTGCTTTGCTTTGAGAGGAACTATAGTCTCGAAACATTTTATTTTATCTCTGTTTATTGCTTTCATATATCCTACCTAGAGCTGTGTTCATAGTGCTGTTTTGTGGGATATTTTTCTCTCTGTAGTTCTCTTTTACTCAGACTCTTCACTTTCCAGCTGGCAAGTGTGTCGTTGGGGGTGTTTTTGTAGCTTCTCATGTGACATGAGGTGCCACTGTGCTAAATACAGTATAAACATTATAAATAAAAACACGGTTAGAAGATTTGAAAACTTAGTGGAGTCTCTGAGTACTGAGAGCCCTGTTTACTAAAGTTTTCCATAACTTCGAGCTTAATAGAAGTTATTTCAAGCAGAGATGCACAATGAACAGTTAAGAGCAATCTGGGCTGTACTCAGAAAGCTGATGTGGATTTATTGGAGGCTGCTGGGGTACAAAGTGCTTACATGCATATTTAATTTCCAGACAAAAATTACCATATTTCCAGCAATGATCTTTCAACAGAGGAATGCAATCTGAATGCTCCAGTTGTATATTAAATATTTTTAGGCAGGAATATTTTTCTCAAATATCAATCACTTAGAAAAGTGCAGCACTAATTAGATGGGAGCTGTTTTCCTGGTCCCTTTGGAGATGGATTCTAAATACTTCTGACTGTCCAGAAGCAAAGACAATTTGTTAAAATCTGGCTATAGGAAACTAAATATATTTCTGAGCATTATTGTGTATATCATAGAAATCAAGTACTGAGTTTGCTCATGTACCACAGAGGGGTGGAGTGATCTTGGAAACAAAGACTATGAAATTCAAGATATTCCAGTTGTGTCTTCCACGTGCATTGCCTGTGCAAAATCCAGGAAACTCATCCTGCCTTTGCAGAATCAAATCATACTTCAATGCCAGTAAGAATTGATGTTGTTAGTCATAGTTTCAGGCCTGGTAATTTTTTTTCAGAATCCACTCTTTAGATTGTATCTGGGTGTTTTTCATTATGGTCTTTATTTCTGGCTTGATTCTGGCAGTTACTGTGATCCACTTTTATAACTCATCTTTAGCTTTTGAATATGCCCAGCACTTGATGGATTCTGCATGCAAATGAAGAACTTCTAATGATCTCTTGCTGCATTAAAAATAGCCAAAACAAAACCCCCTCTTAGAGAGGACCAGATTAATTCCTCCGCCTTTGGGACGTGAGGATCAGCAAAGATGCAGGCTGCAGAAGTGGGAGCTTATAGAAACCTTTGAGTGATGTATTTGAACTTTTTTGTCATAAAATCATAGAATGCTTTGGGTTAGAAGGGACCTTAAAGACCATTTAGTTCCACTCCCCTGCCATGGGCATGGACACCTTCCACTAGAATGGTGAAGGGGGAACTTTAGAAGCTTCTCAGTTTTTGCTCAGTGTAGAATTCATCTTCCCACTGCAAACTTCACAAGCTCTAGATTATTCCTTGTAATTTGCATCTATTTTCACTCAGTTTCTTTTGGGGTCAAGATTTTTTTAAATTAATGTGAATTATAGAAAATATTTTCTGGTCTGGAGGGATTTCAAAGCTCGTTTGTGTTGACATTTGTTACTGGTGTTTTCCTCTTGGCAACATTCATAGAATATGTTTCCCTCTTTAAATGGAGAAATAGATAAAATGATAGTAGTAATCCTGTGTTTTTGTGAAATGTCCTTCCCAGTCTGCTTCTCAGTTTGTAGTTGCATTTTATCCTGAATGGTTTTCAAAACTGTTGCTTGGTCTCCTTAAGTGCAAAGTCATCTCAAGAGCAATATATTTTAATTCTTCCCTAATTATTTTTCTATTTCAGACAATTCAGGAAATTAAAGCTGTTTTGGCAGCATAGTATATTAGATCTTCCATAACCACATTTCATGTGATGTGAGCTGGTCTAAATTCCCTTTTAGATTAGATTAGTGATTCTAATTTAACATATCAGTATTTAGTATGCATTATAGTGTACTATATTTAATTTGATTACCTTTTATGCCTTACCGTACATTTAATAAAGCAATTATTTAACCATTTGCTACCAATGAATTTTACTGTGATATTGAAATTAATATGGTCTGTAATCCATGAAGATGCACAAAACAGGAGAGAAGTGTCTTCTGAAAAAAAAAAGTCAAGGGCCACATTAAAGTCCTACATCTGTGGTTGTTTTGTTTTCCCTTTCTGAGTTTTGCATGGAAAAGTGAGGAAGTTGCTTTGTGAAACCAATGGACTCTCCAAGTATGTTACAGTTCACTTCAGGAGACTTTCATATATAATATTCTGCTTCCCTTTTGTATGGGTTAGTATTAATAAACAGCTTTAAATAGTTTATTCCTCAGCTTTTGGCCCAGTCTTGTTGCTTTTTTCAACAAGTCTTGAGCACACCAGGAGCTTTCACCTACCAGGAGTGGAGGCAGGTGAACCTCTACAGAACCACAATGAGGTAATCTGCTTACAGCTGCAAAATAAATGTGTTGTGTACCACTCACAGTCATTAAGATGTTGATTGATGATTTGTAAAACATTTTTAACTATCAGCAGGCTTATACTTCTGTTTTCAGGAGCATGAACCATATGGTTTATATATCATTAATTACAGACTGGGTACCTTTGAAACCAATATATTGATATTGTAGTGTCTGTGCTCACAGTGGTCTGCACTTTCTGCAGAAATAATACCAGCAAGAATGATGTTTTTGGCTTTTTTCCTTTTTTTTTTTTCCTTTGCTACAGCATGGCTATCCAAGTGGACAAGTTCAATTTTGAGAGCTTCCCAGAATCCCCAACTGATGGGGCACAGTTGGCGAATGCAAAGCAGCTGGAAGAAGAAAGGCAACAAGCAAGAGGTCTGGAGATTAACAGCAAGCTGGATATTTGCTGGAAAATTATATCCTTTCATAAATACTTGCTTTAAAAGTATATAAATAGATGCCCTCTGATACATTTTATTTTATAATTCAACTCGCTTCACGGCAGTGTTACTGAAAAGAAAAGTAATTAGAACTATGAAGCTTATCATAATTATAGACTGTTTAAGGTTAATTGTGCTGTATATTATTTAGGCGATGCTTGGGTCATCCTATAATGGGTTTTTCTGAGTCACTGGGCATGTCATAAATCCTGTGTGTTTTTCCCAGCTTTTAGGGAACTGAGGAAGTGTAGTTAGGATTGATGAGTAGTAGATTCATGGGGTCAGATTTTTCTATTCTCCCTCACACCAAGTAACTGAAGTAACTGAATCATGAAGAAATTAATGAAGCTGGATTTAGAGGGTTTGCATATATTTAATTAAATTTGGGTAAATCAGAACATATTAGAATAATTTATTTCCAAGTCCTCTTTATAGATTTAGTAATGTATCTAATCTTGGGTAGCTTTCTAAGGCATAGACAGGACTTGTGTGACTTAGTCATTCTAAACATAAAATCCCCACAATAATTCTAAATGCAGTAAAATATTGCCTTATGATTATTAATAAGAAATTGCATTCAGCTTAGAGTTAAAATAAACCAGTGGCATTGCTATAAATTTCGTGATTTCTATAAAAAAATCTTGTGCTTGGATTGTCAAAAATACACTTTCTCATGATTTTCTTCAGGAAACATTCTGTACAGCAAACAGTTCCCTAAGGCATGTGATGGTACTCAGCACTTCCCAGGAGATTTATATTTTTCACTCAGATCATCCCCAAATTCACATGATAGAGGGTGGCAGAAGATGAGAGAAGAATGGCAATCAAATAATGCTTTATCTGTTTGTACTTGTAATTGTACTTTTATCCAGTGATCTGGAATGATGTTTCATTACTAATTATTATGAGGAAGAACTTCTTTACTGTGAGGGTGGCTGAGCACTGGCACAGGTTGCCCAGAGACTGTGGATTCTCCTTCCCTGGAGATATTCAGGAGCTGTCCTGGACACAATCCTGGGGACCCTGTTTGAACAGGGGGTTGACAAGATGACCTCCAGTGATGCCTTCCAACCTTAACCATCCTGTGATGATTAAATCAGTTCAGGATTTGTCAAAGTCAAGGCTAGAGACATAAATGAGATTCCTGATGCCTGGTTCAGTCCAGATTCCCCAAGCAGCATTTCAGAGAGAGCTCCTTTTATGCAAAAATGTCAATATTTAACCAGTACTCACTTAGTAAATGTCTGTGTTATGGAAAGATATAAATATTCTATGATAGCACAGATGAATTCTTACACTGGAATTGATGCATAGTTGTAATCATTTTGTCAAGGTGTAAAAATTCATCCTCACTCATTGCAGTTGCTGGGCAACACTGTTTACATCCATTCTGTGTTCTGGATTTAACCCCAGTTTTGATCCCAGAACCATTGTGGCTGACATGAAAGTCACTACCTTAGAAACCAAGTAGAACAGTGCGTGGGTTCTGTGTGTTAAATTCAGTGCAACCATTAGTTTCTCTGTTTACAATACTTGTTATGAATGTTCTCTCTGTTCCAGGAACTAAAACTCATCTAATTAATGAAAGGCAACAAGTTTCATACGTGCTTAAAAATCCTTGAAGAAATGTATACATTCTTTTCCAGGTGTCATGTCCCAAGTACAGTTAGTCTTTCTCTTAGCATTGTAGAATCATTAATGTTGGAAAAGACCTCAAAAGACCTCCAGAATCATCAAATCCAAACTTTGACCTAAACCACAGCACTGAGTGCCACACTGAGTCCTTTCTTGAACACCTCCAGGGATGGTGACTCCACCAGCACCTTGGGCAGGCCCTTCCAATGCTTGACAGCCCTTTCCATAAAGAAATTCTTCCTGATTTCCAACGTGAACCTCTCTGGCTTCATCCTTTTATTTCTTGCAGCAATATTTAGATGTGAACCAGTCAATAATTCATTTTTTTTCTCTCCATTCTGCTAAGTTTAAGAAACGTGGTTTCTGAGATATTTTTCTCCCATCAGAGTAGTTGTACACAGGTCAGCAGAGTTTATACTGATGGACAGACAGGCAGAGAAATGGATGGATAGTTCAGCTGCATTAGCCTTGTTTTCCTTCAGGACTCAGCCTCAGTGCAGGCAAGAGAGGAAATGTATTTGCAAAATTACAAAGGGGTAGAACTACTGATATTTCCTACTAGAGGAGGCATTTTTGCAAGTCTCTTGAGTGGTAATGCCAAATGATCCCTTTGTTCTCCATCATCTCTGAACTACTTAGAACTCCCCAGGCAACTTTTCTGTCCTGTGTGCCATGACATGGGAAAGTGATGGGCTGAGGTGAGTCAACCTCACAGAATCTGCCCTGAGGTGAGATCCAAGGCCCAGATGTTCACACCAGGACTTGCAAAAGCATGTGAAGGAGAAATTAGAGTGTGCACAGGGAATTATTAGGAAAGGAGAGATGAGACAATTGAAAGCTTTTTGACCAAGGACAGAGTCGTCCAACAGGGTGAGGTGCTGGGTGTTTGTTACAGACCACCCAAACAAGGAGCAAAGCTGGATGAACTTTCCTTTAAGGACTAGAAGAAGTCTTCCAGTTGCAGGTTTGCTTATTTCTGAAATACTTTAAGGACAATTTCTGTGTACAGGTGTTGGATGGTTTGGTTTGGTATGTGCTGTGTGGGATGTGCTCCCTGAACAAAGGATCCAGCTGGAGAGTTTGAAGTTTGGTGTCAGCCTTGGCTGCAGTTGTCCTGGCATGATGGAGCTCAGTATCCTGAGGGAAGTGAGGAGGGCACATGGCAGGATGATGACTCTGGACTGGAGCAGAGGAGACTTTGGGGAAGGCAGGATTGGAAAGGATGCTGGCTCTGGTGCCAGTGGAGTTGCTGGGGGGCCTCCAGGAGCAGCTTCCTCAAAGCCTGAGAGTTACAGCAGTCAAATAAGTTCAGCAGAGCCTTGGAGCAAGGTGTGTCATGAGGAGACTGCTAAATTCCAGTTAGGTACTGGGAAAATTCCTTTTCACAATGAGGGTGCTCAGATATTGGAACAGGTTGTCCAAAAGTGCTGTAAAATTGCTGTCTTTGATGACGTTAAAAATTCTGGACAATGCCTTGAACAGCCAGGTGCAATTTCAGTATTTTCCATGCTTTGAGCACAGGGCTGGACAGTGACTCTGGAATTGCCTTTCAATAGAAATCATTCTGTGATTTTTGCAGCTGGGCAGAGGGCTGGGTCAGAGACTGACTTCTGAAAAATGAACTCTTTCCTTCCTCCATCTTCTGCTATCCTCAGGTTTGATTGCAGCCAGAGAAATTTTCTAATGTACTGTGAAGGAATTGCTATTTCAGTGAAATGAGACTGTAACATTTTGGGGTCATTTTCTTGAAAATATTCTCAACCTGGCCCTAACAGCCTTTAAAAAAGTGAGACAGATTTCCAGTGCCACCTTAAATATCATGTTCCATTTTTAGCTTTTCTAATAATTAGACTTTTTTGCTTACTTCAGCCTTAATATCTGTGATGTATAGGAAGTCTGTCCTATTTGCAGTGTTTCCTTACATTTTTTGAATTGTGTTTTGTGCCCCTTCCTCAGTTTTTTGTTTCCCATATTTAAACCTAATTGCCAAAATTTCTTTCAAAGCACATTTTCTTTCAGTCATATTGCTGATTTTGTTCTGCACTACAGCTCTATTTTTCTCAATGTGTGTGGTCCAAAGCTGGAAGCAATACTGCAGGTGAGATTTCTCACAGAATAAAATTGTACCTTCCAGGTTTCAGAGATGATGTTTTCTCTGAGAACTGTTCTTTATTCTATTGTCTAATTGATTTTTTTTTTGCATGTGGTCCAGCATAACTGACTGAATTATTATTCCCAACTTTCATTTATAGATTTGTTGATTTCTTCTAGGGTGGTACTTGGAACTTTCTGTCATTTCATCCCAGTGATCTTCGTAAGTTCCACTCACTTATTAGGTTTGTGGACACTGACATCTTTCCCAAATACATTAAAATTATGAATGTTTTTTTATTTCATCATTGAAGCAGCCAATCAGGATCTTGAAATTATTATCTATCAGACAGAACCTTGAGTCACCTCATTTGCTTGACAGCAAATCACTGATAGCTCTTATTGAAATTCATTTTTCTGTGTCTATTCCACTTTTGATGACTTTATCTTGATCATAAATATGAATAATCAGTTGTTATGAGAATATTACATCTTGTAGATGTGCATCAGTAAAGGTTTCTTTAAATTTCTATGCTACTTTTTATTGTTTTCAAAAATAACTATTATTTAAGACCCTAAATAACTGCTTGTAATCAGTTTTAATGTAAAAATACCACAATAATAATCAAGCAGAAAGCTTAAAATATGAATAAGGCAACTGCTCTAAGTAAAATATGCAACTCATGCAGATTTATTTTTAATTAGTATAATCTTTATTTATGAACATTTGCTATTTTTTATGGTTATGTGCATTCTCCCACCTGCATTTATTTCCAAAGGACATATGTATTGAAAATAATTTCTTCTAGGATGCAAGATGTGGAATGCTGTAGGGAGAAAAAACACGAGGAACTTCCAGATAGAAGCCATTTTTAAAAACCTACTGTCTTTTTAAACAGTTCTAATTGTGAGTACCCAGCTACACATGGGGCAATCCAGAGAGTGTTAAAGACCAAAGTTTTCCCTGGGGAAATAACTGGTTCATTTGACTGTCAGTTAGGTTTTTGGTATGAAACAGTTTATATCATATGCAATCTGTTGCTACAGAAATGTGAAATAAGGGTGTCAACTGTGAAAAATCAGGTTTTTAGGTTTGTTGTGGTTTGTTTTTTGTTTGTTTGGTTTTTTTGTCTTTTTTTTTTTTTAATTTAAACAGCATCTGGTGATTGTGTGTTTGTTAGCTCTGAGGCCCCCACTGGGGCTGATTAGGTTGTGCAGATGAAAATATCTTGAGCTGTTAAACATGAACTGTTGTGCTGGAAGCTGGAAGTCAAGTGTTTGAATCCTGGCTGATGCCTGTGTTGTTAATAACAAAGATTGAAGTTTAGGAAATGGGGCCTGGGTCAGCAATGTGGCTCCTACAGAAGATCAGGTTTGTGATGGCAGTGAGACCTCAGCCAAATGTGTGGAGGTTTTGTTAAGTAGAGAGATTCTGCAAGGTCAAACTTAACCTTGGCAGTCTGTACTCGTGTTTATCTGGGCAGTCTTTTTCAATGAATTTTAAATCCTGGATCTTACACTTGTGTCTTTTATCAGCTTTGACTTTGAGCTAAGAATAAAAGGGTATCTTGGCAACCCTGTTCAACTGCTTTGCTTCCATTGACTTCTAAAAGCTTTGTCTTAGGCAAACTTTGGAGTTAAGCTTTTCTCTCTTGTTCCTTTTATGTTTTCTTATTGCATATTTTAGTTGCTTTTCATCTCCAAGGTAATGAGTGTGTTGCAATGTTCAGTTTTGTATTTGTCCTATAATGAACAATTTACTGTAGTTGTCTGATAATATAGTCAGGAGACAAAGATCACTGTTCTGGAATTCCATGATCCATGTGCCTCTGTAGGTCCATGTGAACACATAATTCCTATATGTGTTTATTCCTTTATGTTTTAACAAGTCTACTTCTTTGGTTGCATTTTCCTCCTTTGCCACCAGACTCCCTTCTGCTGCTTCATTCACTGATCTCATTAGACAAATGCAATTTATTTCCTGAATCCACGAGTCAATCTGTGCATGGCCTAACCATTTAAATGTTACATTTTTCTTTCATGTAGAATTGTGAAAAATGAAATTTCTCATCAGTTCTACAGTCCATGGCCATGTATCTAAGATAAGCTAATACCATCAATTTGTTTGACAAATAAACAAGTAAGACCCTGAACCTCCAGATTAATATACAAGAACACTCACTGAGCTATTTCTTACCTATAGAATTTATTTTGCTGCAAGATGACAATAAGCCATGTGCTAAAAATGAGTTTGGTGCTTGTGATGGAATAAGGAAATTTATGTATCTGATAATTTGGGCTATAAAAGCTTAAACTGCTTTGGGGATATTACATGATTTTCTCTGTTTGTGGGTTCTTCTGGTGTTTTTTTTTTTGTTGTTGTTGTTGTTGTTTGTTGGTTTTCTGTGAGTTTTGTTTTGCTTTGTTTTTGTTGCCCCTTTTTTTGTTTGTTTGGGTTTTAGTTTTGTTTGTTTGTTTGTTTGAATTTTTTTTTTTTTGCTTTTGCAAAGAGCCACTCTGATTTCTAACCTTTTTCTGAAATGTGTGACCAAAAAACCACCAATTGTATCCCAGGATGGGTCAGGCTGGGAAGGGACCACAGTGGGGTCACCTGGTGCCACCTCCCTGCTCCAGCAGGGCCATCCCAGAGCACAGGCACAGGATTGTGTCCAGACAGTGCTGGAATATCTCCAGTGAAAGAGACTCCACAATGATGACAATCTGGTCACTGCACAGGGAAGAAATAATTCCTCATGTCCGGGTGGAACTTCCTGGGATCAGTTCCTGCCCGTTTCTCTTGTCCCATTTCTGGGCACCAGGAGCTGAGCCTGGTCCCTGTTCTGAGCCCTCCCTGCAGACAGGGACAGACAGGGATGAGCTCCCCTCTCACTCTGTTTTTCCTCTCTCACTCTGTTTTTTAAGGCTGTAACAGCCCCAGCTCCCTCAGCCTTTCCCTTCTCCAGTCCTTCCATCCCATTTTATTGTCCTCCCCTGGCCCTGCTCCAGGAGCTCCATCTCTCTCCTGTCCTGAGGAGCCCTGAATGGACACAGTACCCCAGATTTGCCTCACTGCCTCCTGTGATTTTATGTTCCAGGAGGAATATTCTGCATCTGAATACATGGATGTGCTTTGGTAGCATTTACCAACGATAAAAAATGGAGAATCACCTGTTTTGTAGTAATTTTATAGTGTTATTTGAGGCATTAAGCTTTCCATGAAGCTCTAAACAGTGAAAATTTGTAATATTCCAGGCACCACTGTGAGTCTGTTGTAAGTAAATTACAGTAAAGTTAGTTTAATGTTGCCGTTAATGGCAGCCACTATGTTTTAAAGCATCTTTTAAATACTGCCTTTTTATTAGTGTTTTCTCTCACTTATAGTCCTTAGATTAAAGATGTGATAACAGAATTATTTATCTGCTGTTTCTGTGAAGTAATTCAAACTATTCTCTACCCTCTAGTGTGTTTTATGGAAATTATTGAGTTGTGCTGCTGTTCTGAGTCTTATTTTTCTGCAACAGCACTCTTCTAAGGTGATATTCTGCTGCCTTCAGTTTTCCAAATAGATGCTTTTCTTTAATGGTGTTTACAGCTTTCAGACTCTTTGGGGTTTGTGAATTCTTTATTTGTGGTCTCTTTAGGAGAAAAAAAAGGTGCTATTTATGACATTTTTTAGGGCATAATGAGAATGTTTTAAAAAACAATGGCAAGAAGCCTGTACTTGGTATTGATTTTCTTCCTCTGTCATCTCTGAGCTCTTGAGTTTCAATCACTGCTAGCTCTGCTTTTGTTCTGAGCTTTCAAGACTTTTCTTTAAATCTCCTGGAGATCCTGCAAGATTATGTCCTGTGGTAGAAATTAGTTATCTGCAGTGCCTGTTAATTTTCTTTTAACTGACACAGGTGAATCTACACTTCAGCAGTCAAATGATGCATGTCCCTTTCCAGAGTTTACAGCAAAGGGAAAGATCACATTTAGAAGCTGTTGATAAAAACTCAAGTACTCTTTTATTTTTTTAATATATTTTTGAGGACCAGGATTTCAGTACTTTTGGAGTAGTTGGTTGAAATCTTGATGAATCTCACCAGGAGCTTATTCCTTAGTTATGGTGGGATACATTCCTGGATACAGGATGGTGCTGACATCTGCATGTGCTTCCAAGCCCTGTGAATTCAGTGCCTTTCTGCAGTCAGGGAATTAGAAAAAAAGAAATCCAGTGCTTTTCCTGTTACAAATAAATATTATCTTGATTGACTCCTCACACAAAATTTTTATTAATTGGTTTAAATGGATAATACTGTCTTTGCATGACATTGGATATTGCCTGTGCTTTTATTTTAGCACTTGTGTAATCTGTTTTGAAGCCCTTTTAAGAGATTCTTCTGTCCACACCAGTTTATTTCAGTGCTCTGCTGCCCTTAGAGTAAGAAAAATTTCCTCATTTTTTCTCTTTTCAGTCTAGACCTGTTTCTGAGCTCATGCAGGGTAGAAAGGGAAGCTTGCAGGTTCTGTGCCTGTGGTTCTGATGTTTGCCCTTGTTAATGACACTGTCACTGTCCAGCATCCCTGTACCCCCATGGAACTGCCACCAAGTCAGCAGTCAGGGCTACCCTAGCAGACATTTGTTCTGCTTTCTGTTGCCCTCTTAAATTTCGTTCTGTTTTCTCTTTCCCTACCAAATTTTAACTTCTTTGTTTTCAGATTGTTCCTAATTTATTGTTCTGAGTTCTCATCCTGCACCACATCCTTAAAAGTTTGACACTTTTGTGGCTCCCAAACTTTTTTACTCTGGTGTTTTATTATGGTTCAAGTATATTTTACTAGTGCTTTAACACTCCTCAGTGGAATTAAACTGTTATTTTCAGGAGATATCAACTGCTGTACTTCTACTGTTGGTCAATTTATGGGTTAATAAACCATATGTAACATTAACATTTAATGAATCTGTAGATTGCAGTTTTGATTTGCAGTAATAAAAGTTGTGCATATCACATGCTCTTTTCCTCTGTGAAGCAAGATTTTCCTTAATTCCAATTTACCCTTCCTTGAAGCGTGAAGGGGAGGCCAGTGTGGAAGGGGTCCTTAATCAGCTGGTCCTGGAGCATCTGCAGCTGGCTCCTCTCCAGTGGGGTGAGTGGTGTCAAAATGTGCTCATGATCTCTGCAGAGACTCTACTGGCTCCTAATTTCCAGCAGCATGAGAATGAGAATGTTTTCATTTGCTCACAATGTGTGATAGCGGAGAATTTGATAGGAATTTTATTTTTCCTGTCGCTGTTTTACTTAGCTGAAGATAAATGTAGAATTGATATCTGTTTTATTTTAAGTACCACTGTTTGGTGATAGTAAATAGGAAACCTGACTGTGCACTTTTTCCTGTAATTTTCATCCTGGTTGTTTTGTAAGAGAGGTGGCTGCTACTTAAATTTCCCCTTTTCCTTACAGTATGTGTTTTTAAAGTAATTTCTCTAATTTTTTTTTTCATATGAATGGTAATGTCCTTGTGATATATTTCTTATTATAGTCTAGACAACTGCATTACTAACTTTTGAGGTGCAGAAAATGTTTTTACTTTGGGTAGCAGGGAAGAATTGCTTGTCTCAATTTTCCATTTAGAATGATGTTCCCACAATGAAAAATTGAATTTATTTAATTTTAAAGAGTCATAATAATGCAACTTCTGTCTGAGGTTCTCAACAAGGCTTGTTCAGAGGCTTTGGAACATGGGAAGTTTTATCCCCAGCACATCTGTGGGAGTTGCAAGTTTCAGATAAAATCTCCAGTTCATCAGCAAATTGTTGTCAAAACTTTTGTATTTAAAGCAAATACGCTCCATATTTTAGTACTTTGATGACCTAATGAGGAGCAACTTTAAGGAAAAATGATCCATCACTGTTGCCTGTGTTAATTATTGAAACTGAAATGACCCCAAACTCCATTATTTGTGTACTCTTTTAAGTGTTTTTCTTTCAAGCATGTTGACCACCCTCAACTCATATATTAAAACCTGTGAGCACTTTGTTTATAGATGAGAAGATTAAAAATCGTTTGAAGTAGTTTGTTGTAAGTATGTCCAACTTTAGCCATAGTCAGCTACCTCTGAAATCAAGCTTACCTGGCCTCAGTTCTTCAAGGGATTCAAAGATTTGGCAGCTTTTTTTTTGTGAGATTGATGGGATTTGGCCATGATTGCCCTGGGCTCACCAGTAAAACCAGTGGTTAATGTCAGGTGTGTGCTGTGAGCTCAGGCTGGTCACTTCTTAGCTCTGCAGAGTGGCTTTGACAATCAGCAGGTTTGTAACCCGGGCTCTATGGGGGAGAAATCTTCCTTTGGCACTTCTGCATAGGACCATGGCCTTGAGGATGAAAAACATGTTTTTCTTTTCCCTGTAACTTTGGTTTGCTTATTTTAATTATCTTTATGCCAAATTCCACTGTTTGCTTAGTAAAAGGGGCTTTTTGAATCATAGAACTGTGCCTGGCATTCCTGCCTGAATTGTGATCTTTGATGCACTGGTTGAAAAACATGAACATAGCACTGATTTCCAATAAAATCTCCTGTGGAGTTGCTTATTTCTCAGGCTGCTGATTAATTCAGTTAAAGAGTCCCAGTTACTTGAGTTTTCAGCCAAAACTCTGTGATATTCTCTGCTTCATAGCTGCAAAAGCTTTTGAAGCACAGTCTGTTAACTGATGGTGTTGTACATTGTAATTTTCCACACTGAACAAAGCAGGGAAAGGGAGGTCCTGTGGGATATTGAATACTTGGTTTGCCACCATTTATATATGATATTTCCTAGTGAAAAGTTCAGTTTTGCAGAAGTTTACTTAACTTTTTTTGTTTATTTTTTCTCAATCCTAAATTGCTAATGAATATTGTCTCTTTTGTATAACACACTATGTCCATGTGGCAGCTGTAACTTACTACAGAGATTATTGAAAAGGACATTTTGGTTAAATGCCTGATTTTACTTGAAAACAAAAGCAAAAATTGGAAATTAAAGACAGTGGAGACATTTTAGCTTCTTTCAATGAACCATAATTTTGAATATTCAGCAGTTGAATGTTTGGCATTGTTGTAGCCAGGTAACCCTCCCTGCAGCTCCTGCACTCCCTCCAGACTCTGTACCGTGGCAATACAGGATGATTTTTTCTTTAATAATGTGTGGGATGGAGGAGGAATTAAGAGATTGTTATTATTGTTTGGTAGGTGGGAGTAATAAGGAGCTGCTGAAATGTTTGGACAGCTCCCTGATGTGTGTGCCCTGTACATGCCCTTAGACAATGTGACACACTCTCTTTTGGACTTAAATTCTCTTTCAGTGCCAGAATAGATTTCTTCAATTCTTACAGGCATGGAAATATGTTAAGAGTTTAAAATGCTGTAAAATTGCAGTATCAGCTGGATTTTTTTTTTCTGTTAATCATTACACTGTTTGTATTTATCACTTGGCTTTGCTTTCAGTTTTGTTTTTCCATATGTTAAGAATAACTTGTGTTTTAATACGAACTCTTTACTACTGCCCATCATTGTGACGTAGCCTTTGCATAAATTGGCTAAAAATTTGGCTTAGTTTTATGCAGTAAAATTGATTCTATGATTATTCAAGGATTTTGCTATATTGATGGTCACATTGAAGGGTTTACTTTATTATAAGTACTCACAGTGAAACATGAATGAATATTTAACATGGTTTTGATTAAAAAAATGACTGGCTCTTATTCAAATTTGTAGAAGCTGTACTCCAACATTCTTTTAAAAATTGGCATATTTAATTCATATAAGAGTTAATATTACATCTCTAGAATTATGAAAGCATATTGAAATAATTTTTCATGTAAATTTGACAATCTTGTCCTTTTTCATTAAATACAAGGCAAAGAGTAGAATCAAAAGTTGGTGACATTGAAATTTTGGTCTGAGGGTAAGAAGTTACTTTTGAAATTTGTCATAAGAGGGGGGAAAACGTCATCTATAGTGAATAAATTGTTTTGATTTCATATAATTAAATGAATGGGGAAGGGAAAAATATTTAAGACATGAGGAATCATAAAAAAGAAAATACTTCAAAGGCTGGAGTGAGAGTTCGTAATGCATTGTTAAAATTGATTTTAAGATTTAGGACATCTCTGTAAAATGAAGTTGTCTGTTAGGCAGGTGAGTAAATCACACATAATTGAAAAGCATCATCTTGCTCAACACCACCAGGTTCAATGTTCTCTAAAATTTATGACATATTTTCTTTTTGTGGCTGGGCAACAAACCCAAAGTAGGCATAGCTGTGGTTTTAAGGTGAATACATTAATATCCTCAAATCAAGGAAGCAGAGCCTGCAGAGTTTAATGAGGAGAACAAACCTCCCCAAGTTGTGTGCCATGCAGGCTCCATGGCTGGGGCTGGAAATGATGTGGTGGAGTTATCTGTACCTGCTGCCTGTGCAGGATTTTCCCAATCTTTATTTGATTTATGCCACTGACTTCGCAAGCAAGCAAAATCCTGGGACTGAACACTTAACCAGTTTTGATGGTGCTTTTCTGCTTTCCATAGCAAAATTACCTTAGGTACAAATGTGTGAACAAGATTTTATTGAACTTGAAGTAGACTGAGTTTGAAATAGGCTCCTGATTGACCCTGGAACAGGCTGGGCTTGGGATATTCCAGCATTCAATGAGAAGTTCCCCTGAAACAAGAGGCTTCTGACACTTTGAATGCTGTAAACAATTTTCACAACAGAAACTTATTTTGAATTCTCCTACATAAAGCAAAATAAACATTACTTCCTTCACTGCCTGAGAGCACCAGGTATAGAAATCTTTTTTCTGATGACCCTCATGTGTATAAAAGGGAAGATTTATTGGAGAAAATTGCTTTAGGAATTTAGAACTGTAGACACTGAAAAGTGCTGGAGGTTTTAATATATCAAGCAAATGCTTTTCTTTCTCCATAGCAACTAACTGAATAACTGAAAATCAATGATTATACATGAATGCTAGTATACCAACAGTAGTGTTCCAAGAAACATGCATTTGTCAAGCTTCACCATGGAAAAAGTCCAGAAATAGCTTTTTGCTTTCATTCACTCTTTTATTTCATTCACCCATGTCATTAATTCTTCCCTTCATTAAAAAAAGAAAGTGAATTTCAATACAGTTTTAATGTTTCAGTGTACTTGGATGCCTTTCCACAATGCAGTGCATTTTATTTCCTTGTATGTGATTACAGGAGAACTAAAATCACTGCTGCTGGATGCTGCTCAGGTTAGAAATAAGAAAAGAGATGGGCAGTAGACAAAATCTTGATTATTTACTTATTGGTAGAAAATGCTATTGTTGTGGGCCCACAATAAATTCTGTGCCTACTTGCAGCATGTAGGAATATTGTACTTAGGGAAAACTAAAAAACTCAAAAGTGAAGGTGGTGTTAAATTGTCTCTCAGAGGTAGCTGGAATCAATAGAAGATGTTGATTTAAAAGTCTTTTGAAGTGTTTTATGAACTTACAGTTCATGACAGCTTTGTTTGGAAGTTCAGTCTGGTTAAGTTTCACAAAGCATCTTATGGAAGCATTACTTTAAAAATAAATTATCTTAATAATTAAGTGTATGTTTTAGAGAGCACCAAATCATAATCAGTTTTCATAGCTTTATGTTTTGTGGCTATTAACATTAATTACTGAAGGTACACAGCCATGTTATTTTGTAGTTTGCAGCCTAACCTTAGACAATAATTAAATATTTCTTTCCATAATTCATGTGATTAAGGGATTTCAGCAAAGTGAGATCACTGCATCCCAAATACACAGGAAAATATTTTGTAGTGTCTACCAGTGAGTAAATGACACACCCCTAAGCTTGTTTTGGATGTCTCCTGCACAATCTTGTCCCCATGATCTTTGTTCAAATGAGCCAGATCTCTGCACACACACCATTATTCAGAGTTTGGTTTTAGCCAGGGCAGTCCTACAATGTTGCTCTCCCCCATATTTGAAATTCCAGGGCTGTCTTGGATGT